AACGCTTTGACTAGGTCCAAAAATATAGCCATTACTTTCTAATTATCATCAAGTGCAGAATTTATAAAACGTGTGACGTTGTATAATGCATTTTCCGTAGCTAATCCTGGTCTTAAAACAAATTGGTTTTTATACAGAAGTTCGAATTTTTCTAAAAATAAGATAAGTCTATTTTTAACAATTTTTTCAAATATTTTGGAAAAATTACTTAACATTGAAATAGGTCTATAGTTATTTATGCAAGTTTTATCTCCGTTTTTGAAAAGAGGTTTGATTACTGCCCCTTTTAATTTCTCCGGAAATATACTGTTTTTAATACTTAAATTGTAAATATGAGCTAACGGACTTATTATTTTAATTGCTACACTTTTAATTATTTTGACCGAGATTCCATCAAAACCTGCAGCTGTTTCATCTTTGAAATTATTGATAACCTTTAGAACGTCAGATTCACAAAGATTAATAATTTTCGAGATTTTGAAAAATTCTGTCGAAATGCGATGTTTAAATGCTTATAAAAAAAAATTGTGCATATGTATTTTTAATATTTTTCAACTGATATTGTAACAATATACCAGGAGCTTTGTATTAAATTTTTACACTTTTTGGCCCAACAGATAAAACTTTATTGATATTCATAGAAAAAAAAACTAAAAAAATTGAAAAATGAAAATATCCGTAAACAGCTGAAAAAGAGTCAAAATATTCTCAAAATTGTATGGTGTATAGGAAATGCTAATATAAACATTCAGTGAAATTTTCATGTATCTATAGTTATTCGTTTATGAATAACAACAAAATAAGGAAATCGCTACATGAGAAATCGAGTGAACATCCAATGTTGTAAAAATTTGAATTTGAAACGCTCATAAAAATTTAATTTGACTGTCCGGTAGAGATTTTTTTATTGATAAAGGTAGACAAACTTATGAGTAATCTCGTATTACATTTTCAAATCTTAGAATTAAAAAGAAAAATTTTTACAAATTCTTAACTCAAAATAATTTGCTAATTTTCGTGATTTTTCCATATTTTGTCAATTTTTGAACTTTAAATGCTTATAAAAAAAAACTGTGACTAACGATTTTTATATTTTTCATCTGCCTTTGAAACAATACACTAGGAGCCGTATATTAAATTTTCGAGTTTTTTTAACCAACAAATACAATTTTATTGATATTTCTAAAAAAAAAACTAAAAAAAAAATGAAAAATGAAAATGTCCCTTAACAGTTCAAAATAAATCAAAATATTTTGAAAATATTGTCGTGTATAGAAAATGCAAATATAAACAACCAGTGAAAATTTCATGTATCTACGGTCATTTGTTTTAAAGTTACAACAAAAACCAAATTCAATTTTCTGAAAAATCGATTTTGTGTAAAAATTCCCGTTTTTCCTTAATTTTTCTTTTGTTTTTCTTGGCGCTTTTGAAAAGTACTTAAATTTTAAATTTTGACCTGCTCAATGCACCAACGATATTCACTTTCCAATCGAACAAGATACTGAAGTCAAAAATCAAAGCATTATTTCGACTACTTATCGTGTACACAGACACAAAAATAAAAATAATATAAAAACAGAACGGATACGATAAGCCTTAACAACAGAAACTTGTTTTCCTAATTTAGACCCAATGTCTTCGACTATTTTTACGCAGTTTTCATTCTTGTTATCTGGTATGTGTGTTTTTATATTTTTTTTAGCAACAAAAGCATTTTGTTCTACCAGTTTTTGATTTAAAGATTCTATTTCTGCTTTAAGAGCATCAAAATTATGAGTGTTATTTCGTTCATTTACCGTTGCTCTTGCTGATTCTACCTTACGCAAATTTTTTTGTAAGTCCGAGAGTGTATTATTATTCATTAATGCGACTGGGTTATAAAAATCGGGTGGGAGCGCTTCCAATATTAAATCAATTTTTTTCCGTGTCCGTCATTTTAGGGTTAACTTTATGGGCTAATAATTGAAAATCCGCTAGAAATTGCGAAACTGTTTCGGTTAATTTTAATTTTCTGTTTGTTAATTTTGCTTTAAGCATTCTGGACCTCCCCGGTGAAATGAAATATTCCTTGAGTTCTAGTTCAAAATGACTCCATGTTGGTGTAGGATTATTTATGATATAATTTTGCTAGAATGCCTTTGCGCTTTTTTTGAGATATATTAGGACATACATTATTTTTTTATCATCAGACCACTCATTAGCCACAGATATCAAATTATAATTTTCAATAAATTCGTTGACACATTCGTCTGGTTCGCCACTATAAAATTCGGGTTTAAAAAAAATTGGTTTGGACATGTTGGAAATTTCTAGTCTATCGTTAATATTAATTGGATCAACTAAATCAGTATCCGTCTTTTTTGAACGCGTTATAACAAGTGATCTCCGCTCGATATTAAAAGGTTTAGGTATAAAATCTGGATCACTATCGTTATCGTCCTCACTTTGATTTTTGTCTAAAATAGATCTTACTAAAAGTCGTAAGTCTACGGTTTCGCTATTCTTTGAAAATTCCATTTTTAAAAATTGTAAAATTTGTATTAGATCGTCTTTAGATATAAAATAATAAAGGTACAAAGATTTAGGTACAGAAAGTAATTCAATCTTTTCCTCTAACGACTTCTGTGTAAATTCTTCTTTTTTGAGTTTACTTGGAAGTTCTAACGAAAAAAGAATTCCAAAGTCAAGTTTAGCGATTCCTATAACGTCACTGGGTAATTTTATATTCCTACACTGAGAAAAAGCTTCAGCGATCTCTGAATACATAATTGTTTTAATATAAGATATACATACGTTTGGCGTTAAACTAGAGACATCTATAGACTTATCTAAGCTTAAAATTGACCAAGTACGTTGAGAAATATGAATAGTTTGATTATTACCCGCTCTTTTAAAATAATACTTAAACATTTGCTAAAAAAAAATAGATTTTTATAATTATACTATATTGTTTAAATTAAAATTTTTGAAAATAATAAATAATGTGGATTACAAATTAAATATTGTCATTAAACAAACAAAGACGTAAACTGTTCCCTGATAAGTACCAAAATCGATATAATTGTGCTAGTTATTATGAACAATTATGGGGAATTAAATATTTGTTAAATATTTGCCCGGCGCCTAAACCAAATTGCGACACACCTCCTCGGCTTGTCAAACCCAGTGGCTGTCGATATTTATACCTAACTCTATCCAGTTAAGGAGTAGTTGGTTGGCTATTCCCACTACACGAACCGGTCCTTAGATCCGGGTTGTTGAATTGATATAAATAAAGTTTTCTGAGTTATATTTTACAAGTCCTAGAAACTTATGACTTGCGTTCATAAACTAACACAATTAACACGATATAGCAACGAATACAATGTTTTATTCAAGACTAAAGTAATTATAATATTATAACCAATAAAATACACTATCACCTGAGTAACCCTGTTCTTAAAGGTAGTATATTGAAGATAACAGGAGTAGCGGAGTACGAGTTGAACAATACTGAATTATTATAATTTAACTATTAGGTACGTTATTATATACTTAAAGTTAATCAATTAATTACGTTTAATAATATTGTAAATATGACTATAGTAGACTGATGTATAGTCTCCATTACACGGATCTAAACCGACTGGCTGCTATGCCAATAATATATAGGCTCGTACTCTACGTTCCTGTTTTCTGTTTACCTAAGCAAATTCGCCGAGTGCGACATAAATGACGAGTCAGTAAACTGCGAATCGTTACAGTACCAACAAATATTGTAAAATATAGTCGAGACTGGAGTACAGTTCAATTTGGAATAGAAATATCAAATATTTTTTTAATTAATTTTTGCAATTTAATTTATGATCTGAATATGATATTGGAATGGTGCACCACGAATGTTAGAAATAATTCTGTAACCCATCTCAATACATTAATTAAAAACCAAAGTATCCAGATAAAAAATTATTTTTCAAAATATTTTTTCAGATAAATATTACATTTCGAGTTTTTTGAAAAATATTTCTTTTATTAATGCAATTCAATTTTAATTATTAATTCCATATTTTAACTAAATATTTTAATTATTAATATATATCATATTTTTCATTTAAGTTTAACTCCGATGCGGAAACTCTATCGAATGCTTTCGTAAAATCTAAAAATATGGCAATTGTTTTTTTACTGCTATCATAAATATATTTTGATACCATGTATAACGCATCTGTAGTTAATACTCCCGATCTACAGCCATATTGATTTTTCGAAAGCAGTTTATTATTTTCTGGAAATGTCATTAATCTTGACTTCACTACTTTTTCAAGAATCTTTGCTAAATTACTGATCAGCGTTATTGGTCTGTAATTATTTACTAGTGGATTATCCCCATTTTTAAAAATTAGTTTAACAATAGTTGTTTTTAACTGTGATGGAAATATTCCTCCTTTTAGCTTTTGTTATAAATAAAAATTATTGAATGTATTATAAACCGAGACATAATTTTTAATAGTTTTACCGTTATTTTGTCAAAACTTGTTGCCGTTTCGTCTAATAACATTTGTGTTTACAGATTTTTTAACGAAGATCTTAGAATCTTTGAGCCGAGTAAATTTATAACCATACTCAAGAGCCTTTGTTCTAATTTCGTAGAAAAGATTTATATTTGTTTGCGTTAATTGTTCGTTGATGCATGTATTTGAGGTTTCCCATTCCACACTAACTTGTTTTGTTGTTAGTTTTGATTTTCTTGCTTCATTTTTAAGGGTTCGTTTATTTTCTTTAGAATTATTAGTCGCAACAATTTTCCTTAATTTATGATTACTGCCGGAATAAACTCTAAAATCATGTTATACTGAAAGCTCAACTTTTAACTTTGAAGCAATTTGTTTTATTGTTTCTACGGAATTTTCTCGGTTCACTTCTGGAACACCAATAATTTCAATATTACATTCAAGCGACTTCTGTTCTAGCTTATTAATACGTTTATTAAGTAATAATATATACTTCTCCTTTAATCTTCACATTTGAGCTTTGACAATTTTGTTTTCTGTTTGTAATTCTCCCAGAGTTGATAAAATATCCTTCATTTGGTTTTTGAAACTTTCAAATTGCCCACTCATAAATTCAATGGATTCTACTAAACTTTCAATAGTACCTAGTATCCGAGAAAGAGCTAGTTTTGGTGTTGACAGAATCTTTAATATTTTTGCATTTGGAACAGTTCCATAATTCTTTAGACTCGCTTTTAATTTTTCGATATATATTTTCTCTAAGCCCTGAACAACCAAAATGCAAAAATCCATTGCATTTATTACATTTTATCTCGTCTCCCTTGAAGATTTCTTCGTTGCAAATTAAACAGATCATTATTCACACAAATATTTGTTAAATTAATAAACACTTGAAAAACCACTGATAAACAATAGGTAACAACTATAGAGACATCGACCGCACTCGACGGAAGTCAACTGATAACTGATTATATAATAATAGTAATAATCATAATAATAATAATATACACTAATAAAAATAAGTATACTTATTATGTTATATTTTATTAGTACTTTTCATTTATAATTTATTAGGTCTCACACTATTACTAATACACTACTAGTCACCATACTTTTTTCGATCAGGAACAGACGTAACGACCGGACAGGATATCCACCATCAGTATTCGTCCTCAGGAGAGAGGGCAAGAGGCCGGGGACTGGATAGTGGATACTGTCGCGGACAGCGGACGACCCGATCGAACAAATAAATATGGATAGGGTGAGTCGTGAAAACAACGTACTGACCGCACCACCTGTAACAGGTGGCCCGACGGACACAAAGTACAAAACAGTTGACACGGTGTACTACAAAACACACCACCTGTCAAGCACGCACAAAAAGTTTCACGCCGTCTTCGCACCGAAATTGTGGGGACCGGTAAAACTGCACAAATGCGTAGGCAAAGGTGTGTTCATCACAGACCAACAGCCTGCCCGCAAAATACACGTGTCTTGCCTCAAACGGGGGAACACCGCAGCGACCCAAACACCCACCACCCAACCCCCCAACCATAAACCCACGTGGCACAAAATATACACTAGTTTTTTTATAGGTGGTTCGACCCCCCCAACTTTTTTTTTAATGTCATTGAAGTTGCTTGGATGGTAAATCAGCATATATTTTTGAATTTGACAAAAATCGTTTTTCAAAACTATTTATCACACCATCCATTACAACATTATACACTTCAACGACAAATTTGACTAATTGTTAAAAAAAATTTAAATATTTTAAGATTAGCGTCCCGCGATAAGCACTAATTGCTTGGCGTGAACAAAATAATACAATTGTTTTCTGTCAGCATTGTCCATAACCAGTAAAAGCAGAAAAAAAATTTCAAATTGATCAACATGCAAAATCATTTTTACATGAAAAATGGAAATACAAATATAAAATTGAACAAAAATTGAAATTTTTTTTTCATGTTTTGCATTTTTCCCTTACTTATTTTGACTTTTTTTTAGTACATGTTTGCATGCATATTTTGCAATTTCAAATGCATATAAATCTTTAATTACAATATATCAGTATAGTACGATTTATATATTATACACATTGTACTTATTATTATATACGTACAACAGAGTAGGTGAGTCATCGCATGCATGTCTAGTTTGAAGATAATTTCCTGATAGAATAATTGAAGAACAATCTGGAAAATGTCAACGTATTTATAGATACGGCCGGAATCGAATAATGCATTGCGGGTACCCATAGGTAATATGTTATTGTCTTAAAGGCTAACGAATCAATAAATAATATACACGCAATGCCAGAATAAAGTAGTTGGATGATAAAAATGACTCGAATCACCGAAGTGGTTAACGACAAAAATTAAAATCCAACAACAATCGATCAATTGTACATAATATAACATACCTAACAGAAGTATACCTTCTTGATATATTAACATGATTACAGATAAAAAACACAAAAAAATGCGTCACTAAAAAATACTATAATATTACATTGAAACCTTATGTATACATTGACACGGTGTAACTTATCATGTTACTTATATATTGAATTCTGCAGTGGTGGTATAACCAGAATTAAGGTATTACACAATAGTATTGTTAACGACGAACGAGTGGCCGACCCGCATCAAAAATTGTTCCGATCAGAAATTTCCAAGACAGTGGGAAATATTGAAAAGTATATTTCATATCCATAGTACACACAACGACTATTATCCGGCTAACATCAATGCCGGGGTAGTGTTACTGCCGCGACACGAAATTTTTGGAGCGGTACGGTTTTTAAGTGTCCTCACTGAGTCATCGGGTTTGATATATGAAATATGTCGACGTCACGAGGGTAATACAACGGTACTAACAGTTCGCAAAAACGGACCAGACTAAATGTCGAGGGGGATTCGGACCCCAGCGAGTGGTAGGGCAAGTAGATGCGCGGGACAGCGATAGTCGTGGAGAACGAGACTTTGACCCTTTTTCGACTACAGCATATCGAGCACCAACATAATATATAATAAATAATCTATATTATAATCAATGAGAAAAACTGGCATTCAGACCAAAGTAATAGCCAGACAAAACTGAATGAGTTTGGTTTGATGGATATTAATGTTGAAAACGGATTATAATTGATTTATAATTAATTTACTAGGTGTTATATTGTAGGAATATTAATGAATGGTAATTGGTAAGTACATACAATTATACAGAGTAAGTACACCACTATTCAGTTTACGAAATTGTTGAAGTCGTGACTGTTATTAAGTTAATACATTAGTGGTATAGCAATTTAATGCGGCTTATATATTATACATATTGTACATACTATATATGTACAACAAAGTAAGTGCGTCATCGCCCTTACTTTGTACGTCGTCTAGTTTGAAGATAATTTCCTGATAGAATAACTGAAGAATAATCTGGAAAGTGTTGACGTATAGGTACGGCCCGGAATCGAATAATGCATTACGGGTACCCATAGGTAATGGGTTATTGTCTTAAAGGCGAACGAACCAATAAATACAATAAATCATATACACTCAATTCCAGAATAAAGTAGTCGGAAGATAATTAATTCTATACCTACGTGTACATACGTATAAATACTCGAATCACCGAATTGTCAACAACGGAAAAAAATGAGTACTTTACAATCTAAAATAGTTTGAAGAAAATAAAATCGTAAAAAAAAATTACCAAAAGAATTACAAGCCATCAAGACAACACTTGTATACATTATACATATTACAAACTCCACTTTAAATTTTTTTTTAAATTGAAATATGTATTTCTATGGTACATAGAATTATATTATACATATATCTAAAATAGGTTTCTAATAAATATACATTATTAAATGCCAATAAAATCTCCAGACGAAAAATATCACTGGAGCTTAATCATCATGACAATATAACAATACAGAAACTAAATAGGTCTTGTCGTAATGACAATCAACAATATGAAATTATTAACATATACTCATTTTGCTACACTATTATTATTATTTTTTTTATTGAACTTAATCCCGGCAACTATGGCCATTAGTGGTTGTAGGGGAATATGAACTGTGGTTGGTAAGGTTGGTATGGTAGGGTGTTGTTACAGTTGTTACGGTATATATGCAAACACGTGTAAGTGTAGCAAGGTTTTTATTACTGTGAATCCGGGTGATCATCAGCACGAGAACTAGTAGCAGCGGGCCAAGCCACACATTTATTTATTAACTTTTTTTTTTATTAACTAACCCGCGGTAATTTAGGCAATTGGGCGAGTAGTATGATTTAGATGGTTCAAGTCCACACTAGTCCCTAGTCCCTAGTCCATGCGAGTCAATGCCGTGCGCTGCCATTCCCCCTCCATGCCATG